CCCCCCCGCGGGCCCAGCGGGTCGGAGACGGCGCCTTGGTCCCTTCGGCTCCCTTCTAGCCCCGGGCGCTCGTTATCCGCGGCTCGTTTTGTCGCCTTTTCCTGGTAGGAGTTGCGGCGGCGCAGCGCGTTTACGCGCTCGCAGGAGGCTGAAGCGCCGCGCGCTGTCGGGAGCGTTGCGCTCCCTTTTGCGCGCGAGGAGAGTCGCCGGTGTGTTTGTCAGTCCTGCGGATGGAAAGGTTTCTGGTTGGTTTGTTTTTCCGGAGACGGTCGCTTTGAGTGGATGCTGGGTTTCTGTTTGTCTTGTTCATCATGCGCCTCTTTCGTGTGGTCGGGCTTCTTTCTGCGGCTCTGAGGGCTAAAAGGTAGCTCTGATCACCTCATTGCTTGAGTCATCACTTACTAGCGATTTAGGGGAAAAACAACGAGCATTGTTAAACTTGCTCTGTTCGCAGAGGCGGGGAGAGGGGGAGATGGATTAGAAAGGCAACATCTCTCATTTCAATTTAGAATGGATTGTTTTTTTCCTTTTATTTTTGTTAAGACCCTATCTTAATTTGAAAGCCCTCAAGCTGAACTGGAGCGGTGAACCTTCGCAGCCCCAAACGCCAACGCTTTTCAGTTCATTTCAGTTCCTCCTATTAAAAAACTCGCCAGCTTGACTGTTTTCTGAGGAAGGATGTGTCCAGAGTGAACATCATCTGCTGCAGATGGTCTGTCCCAGCTTTGTATGAGGGCCTGAAGGATCAAGAATTTCTGCTGGTCTCGGTACTTGCAGTTACCTCAGAGGTGAAAGGCATTTTCTGAGACAAGTCTTTGCTTTGAAGACACTTTCAATTGTGTTAAAAATAAGTAAGTGTCTCGATCTACTCTCTGCAAAGAGCCTTGCTCGGCAGGAGATCGCAGTTATCCTTCAGGTGAAGGCGGCGACTGTGAACATACAGTCCGGCACCAGCAAATACAGAAACTGAGATCTCATTGCGGTGCCAGCTGAGGCGCCTAAGCTTATTACCCCATACCTAAGAGGGACAGAATTTATTTCCTGACAAAAGGCGTTCGGACCAAAAAGAAAGATTACCTGCTTGCCAGCATCTAATTTAGGTTGGCCCCAAAACGCATCATAACATGCCCCTTCTTCGGTACGGAGGTAAACAAAGCTTCTGAGGTCCTTTTCTCCTGCAGTGAGAAGCAGGCTGATTTTTCCCTGCCTGCAGAGCAGAAGCAAGCGAGCTCACAAACAGGTTTTCGGGCTCCCCTGAGAGCGGCTGACTTCTGACCACGGCTGCATACGGCCCCTGTAGCTCGCCTTGGAGTTTCTTTTCCTTTTTTCTTTCTTTCTTTTCCCCCCTCCCTCCTTCTCCTTCTGTATGTCCTGGGCTGACTTCCTGAGAAACTGATGACCGGTGCCTGCCTGCCAGCCTGCCCGCTGCCTTGCCTCCGTGAGCAGGCCTGCCTGGAAGCCGCGGCTTCCTGGCTCTGCCTGCGAGCGTGCAGTATGACAGGGCTCGCCGCCTTCCTCGGGGTGTTGCACGTACAAAGAATGTCTGAGCGGTTTCTGTTTGTTTGCCTTTATTAAGGGAATGCTTTGGATCTTATCGCTTCAGAAACTGGCAGTTGGGGAGATCATGAGATTATAGGCCCTCAGCCTGTAAACACTTGCACATACTTGACATGATATCAGCCGTGTGAGTGGTCCTGCCGATACCGTAAAACGGCTCACATGAGTAAAACCATGCGTGTGTTTAAATGCCTGCGGGGTTAGGGCCAGAGATACCGACCGCATAACAGAGGAAATAAGTTATTCACGGTGTTTGCATGTCTGTTTTTTTTATTTTAATGACCATCCATATCACAAAAACACTGAGCAGACAGCTGGGAAAGATCAGTTTGATAACATTCAGTACTTCTTTGCCTTTGTGGTTAGGGGCGGGACAGCATGTAATGGATAGCTAATAGTGCTGTATCCTGCATCAAAATGAAGAACCACAGAGCTTGACGTTCTGGATTGCGGTAGGGAGAACCCTGTTCCTCTATGCTACTTTTTTCTTTCTTTTCTTTCTTTCCAAAGGGGAAGGGGGCAAAAAGTTTTAAGACCTTCTTACTACATCAGAAGAAAAAAGGAAGGCAGAAGGGTACCAACTCCGTTCCCCCCCTTTGCATGTTACTTTTACCGTTACAGGTAAGACATCAGATTTCGGGGCGTGTTGTGTGTTAGAAGTTCTGCTCTTCATGTTGCGTTGACCTAGACTTGTATGCTATGGTTGCTCCTGTGTTTTGTGTGTGTGTTTTTTTTTTTTCCTAGTCCTTTCCTTTATAAAGGTAGGGGAAGGGGAGAAGAAGTCTTAGGATGTGGCATTGTGAAGTTGTGCCTTGTGAAGTGTCATGCAGCTCCTAGATTCTGATCTCATCTACCCCATCGATGTGCAGCCAGCATACCATTTAGTAATCTTTTTGCACAACTTCATAAGGTCGACAGGCTGCTCTGCAGCTTCAGGTTTAGTAACATATTTTGCCAAGTTTGCACAAAGTCTGCTTTGACGTATAAACTTGCACTATCCTACGGCAGTCATTAAAAAAAAAAAAAAAAAAAGAAAAGGAAAAGCTATAGGCCTCCTCCCTTCAAAGGTGCATATGCTTAACTTTATGCATGTGCTAGTCCCTTTGATTCTGACATTGCTTGCAGTAGACACAATCTGAGCCTGTATATTCCTGGACTGTCTGAAATTGTTTTGATATCTGCAGCACCCTGCCTAATCGGCGCTTTAGATGCCCTCCAACTTGGAAGCTGTTCATGCCACGAGTGATCTTTAATTAATGTGTTTGGGGTTTGGTTGTTTTTTTTTTTGGGGGGGGGGTGAATTTACATCTAATTTTGGATCATTCCAAATTTTTACCATATATGGTCAGGGCTCCTTTTCAGACTTTGCCAAAACGAAACGTGAGGATTATAAAAACATGAGTTATGGCAAGGAAACTAAGCAAGTTTCTTTGTGAATCCCTATTGTTCATAGGTCATGTTTTGCTGTATGCAAAATCTCAAGCTACACAGATGTTTGCTTCTGTTTTCGTGGAGTCATCTGTGCCCAGTGCACGGTCTAATGAGTTGGTGTTGAGAACTGGATTCTGTCGTTGGCCTGTTACATATTTTCTGCCATGTGTCAGAAGTGCCACAAATGATGAATATCTTGGTTTTAATGATGTACTTAGGATATGTCAAGTTCAAATGTGTGCTGCTGGGATTTTGAAAAATCTCCAAGGAGTATTTAAGCCCCTGTGTCTCCTACGTGATTCCTGTCCTATAAAGGAGGTATAACGATATTACATCCCCCTTTCAGAGTGCTTAGAAGGTGCAAGTGCTAAGTATTTTAATCCATTATGCAATCAGTTACCTATTTTTAGAATCTGAGCCATTTTTAATGTTCCCTTTACAATGAAAATATGCTTTTACTGATGCTCACAAACTGAACTGTTTAGAGCATGAAAGCCACAGGGAATGAGGATCTGTCAGGGGTGTTTTCACGTAATTTTTGCAAAAGGTGACGTACAGAACCTAAGGATCAGAGAACTGCTGCAAGCCTCTTGTAAATTAAACAGTGAGATAGCTCTCTAAAAATCCCAGTGTTCCTTACTGAATGAAAGCAGATGAAAGATGTTTTAAGTGCAGACAGTGAACGAGCTCAGTTAGCGATGGGTTTTGTTTTGTTTCCCTTTCAGTAGGATTGTACGCCTGCAGCTGGGACAGCCATGGAGAAGAGTGGGAACATTCAGCTGGAGATTCCTGACTTCAGCAACTCTGTCCTGAGCCACCTGAATCAGTTACGCATGCAGGGCCGCTTGTGTGACATCGTGGTCAATGTGCAGGGGCAAGCTTTCCGCGCTCACAAGGTGGTGCTGGCTGCCAGCTCGCCCTACTTCCGCGACCACATGTCCTTAAATGAAATGAGCACCGTTTCCATTTCTGTGATCAAGAACCCTTCTGTTTTTGAGCAGCTCCTTTCCTTTTGTTACACCGGCAGGATTTGTCTGCAGCTGGCTGACATCATAAGTTACCTAACGGCTGCCAGTTTCTTGCAGATGCAGCACATCATAGACAAATGCACGCAGATTCTTGAGGGAATTCACTTCAAAATTAACGTGGCAGAGGTGGAAGCAGAACTGAGCCAGACGAGGACAAAGCATCAGGAGAGACCTCCAGAGTCGCACCGGGTGACGCCAAATCTAAACCGTTCTCTGAGCCCCCGTCACAACACCCCGAAAGGCAGTCGCCTGGGCCAGGTGAGCACGGTGCTGGACATTCGGGAGCTCAGCCCTCCAGAGGAGTCCACCAGCCCCCAGATAATTGAGCAGAGCTCGGACGTGGAAAGCAGGGAGCCCATACTACGGATTAACAGAGCAGGACAGTGGTATGTTGAGACAGGAGTGGGAGACCGCGGCGGACGGACCGACGACGACGTCCGGGTTCTGGGAGGAGTGCGCATTAAAACGGAGAACCTGGAGGAGTGGCTGGGGGCAGAGAATCAGCCATCGGGAGAAGATGGGAGCAGTGCCGAGGAGGTTACTGCTATGGTGATTGACACCACGGGTCATGGATCAATGGGCCAAGAGACGTACGCATTAGGGTCCTCAGGGGCCAAAGTGGTCAGGCCGACCAGCAGTGAGATTGACAGGTGAGTTTTCTTTAACTTATTTACGGAGCTTGGCTGTAAGAGCAGATTGTGAAAGATTTTTGCTTGGCTGGATTGGCCTTTTCCGATCATATTCCCTTTGTATGTCGTGTGACCATCTTAAGCATAAGCACTGAAGGAATTTCCTTGCGGTGGTAGAAAGTAGACCTGTTTCTGGTTATAATGTACGGACTAGGTAGCGATCAGACCCAGATCTCCAGGCGCAGCTTAGCTTGGGAAATTAAACTATTAGCACGTGCTCATGCACAGCTTGGAATTTCTACCTCCGTCTTTCAGCCGAGGTGGGATTTTTGTGTAAAAAAGATGTTGTAGCTGAGCCGCAGCAGACACTGTGCTCAGCATTGGAATTAATTGGGTCATATACAGTAGGTGTTATGCAAAGTATCATTGTAACGATGCCTTCTGGCCTGAAAATCTGGGGATTGTTCTGCTTTAGAAACAAGCTGGCCACCAGCTGTAGGCCAAGATGGGTTTACATCTTCTGAAGCGGTTGAAGTGGGGAGCCCACTGGCCTCTGCTGTTGCATTGATTTATACAAAAGAGCAGAAGGCCTTTATTTATAATAGATGTTGAAATCTGTGTACTGATTCTCCATCCATCTGCTTCCCCTCCACTCCAGCATTTGCTTTCTTGCCCTTAGCTCAGACCAAAGAACGGATCTGATAAAGGCCAGATCTTCTGTGTTTGTGGGGTTTTGCATTTGTGGGATTTCCCTTCATAGCTGCCTCTCTTTTCTTCTAGCTCCATCCCTCTGGTCCCGTGGGGGGAACAGCAACCTGGGAGCAGTGGATATGCATCACTTGTTGCTTAATAGATCAGTGTGTGATCTGTACTGTTGGAACGATCTTGAGCTGGCCCTTGGGACAGCAATCCTTTCCTAGTTTCTTAATCCTTTTCCATGGATCAGTTAACCTAGGGCATTGTTTTGTACACTGCGCTCAATATCCACTGTTTCCTACCTGGAGCCCATCACGTTACTGCTGTGATGCCTCAGTTTCGCTCTTGCAAGGGGAAGGTGGGCGAGGGAGGTGAATGAGAGGTGCCCTTAGAGAAATGGTGTCTTCTGCTGTTGTACAGTTCCTGAGTCACTGGGCCCATATCAGGGTACTTGCTTGCAATAGCAACCAAAAAGCTCTCTGTTACTGAACTAGAAGCCAAATGACTCAGTTTTATTTTTCAGATGTTAAGACTGAAACCACAGACCAGTATGACTTGGTTTTTCCTTTATACTTGCACTGTTCCGCGTTCCGCCTCCTGTGTGTTAGCTGGTGAGGATGAAGAGATGCTATACAGGTGCCTCTATTGCTCACCCATTGTTCTAAACGCCATAGTGACCTGATGCCCATTAAAAACTCCGTTTACACTCTTCCCCCACCCCACAGATTTAGCCCTTCTGGCAGCATGGTTGCTGTGACTGAGCGGTACAGGTCAAAAAGCGAGTCTCCCGGGCGGATGGATGAGCCCAAGCAGCCCTGTTCCCAGGTAGGTAGTCCAAGAAGTTTGCAAGTAAATGTTGGCGTTGAAGGTTAAGCTGACTATATTGTGATGTAGTGTATGAATTTATATTTGCAAGCAAAGCTGTTTGCAAAATAAGGACCTTTTGTTGTTGCAAAGCGTTTAGTTGCTCACACTCAGAATGTGTGCTGTCGGGGTATGGTTTAAAACTGATTCTGTTTGTTGTTTGGGATTTCAGCCAGATACCTGGAAAGCATGAGGAGTTTCTCTTGTTGTCCGAGGGCGCAAAATATCAACCTTCATTCTGGGCAGGCCACCAACTCCTGAGGAGAAGCCCTGTTCGCCTGCAGAGTTGGATCTGCCCTAAAAACACTGTCAGCAAAAGCCTGAGCTAAAGGAAGAGCTGTTAGCTGGCTTCTGGAGAAGGCTGAGGGGTGACAAAATCTGAATCTCTCCATACTAGTACCAAAAACATTCCCCAAGCCTCCAAGTAGTACACCAGCAAACCCTTTGAATGAAGGGTGACCAGTGTGTTAGAGGGTTGTGGATTAGAGCAGGAGTCTGCCTCAGCCCCAAGGGGCTGTACTGCATAGCGGCATTTTCAGCATAAAGTGGCTCTGATTTAGTCCTCTGCTTTCTTGGAGCAGGGCACAGTGTGGGGGTAGGAGGGAGAGATGTGCAGAAATGCTGTCGGGCAGTGGGGTGTCGAATGCAGCTGAATGGAGGTATGCAGAGTGGGACACAGTGACAATATCTGTGCTTAATCATTTTGGTATAATTTGTTCTTGCATACAGTCAGTATTGTAGTGCCACTGTGGTGTAAATGAATCACCTGACACAGCTGCAGAATAACTCTTGTGTTCCTGACAGATTAGGAAGTTATCAGTTCTTAATCAAATGACTTTGTTGGGAGCAGATGAGGCGTTACCAGGCGGCTTTGACTTTAGATAAGACCAAGTGAATTGAAAAGAAAAACAAACCAAATTTCTGTCTGCTTTCTGATCACTTCAACTAAAAAAAAAAAAAAAGAACAAGAACAAGAAAAGAAAGAAACTTTTTTTTCCACACGTTGCTGAAGCTTTGTTTTGTGTCCTCAGAACGCATCTAGAAAATTTCAGGTCAAGCTGATGCTCCAGGGCAAATGCAACATGCAAAGCAATTTTAGCTTTAAGTATGGAAAAGCTACTGTTATTTCTCCATAGGGAGATGGTCTCGAGCTTAGGACTGTAGGTTTCCACTTACATGGGAAAGTGTCACCACCTTCCACTCTCCTGGTGTTGCCATATTCACGCTATAAATAGAGCCTGCCTGTAATCCCTGCCTAGTGGCAGTGGTAGAATGGGAAGTACCATAGTTTTGTTCATCACATTTAGTTCTAAGCAGCTTACCCTTACGTGTACGACCGGATTTCGTGGCGCCTGGCACGGTTAATGCTGTTGCTTGTGTGTGCCCAGCCCTGTTGCCGCAGGAGAAGCCCTCCTGTGCCTCTACCGGTTGCTTGTCTCCATTTGGCATCATCAGGAATGGTGTAAGACTTGGACTACAAATACTGCATCCTCCAACGCGGAGGTGTTCAGCAGATCATCCAGGGTGAAGACATTCAGGAAACCGGCTATTTGTATTAGCTCGGAGTATGATATCTGGCTGCAAAGAATGGTGCATATGGCTATCCTAGAGCCTGAGCCTGTGCTTGGAGGGTTGTTTTTCTTTCTGGCCTCAGAAGATGAGGAGGAGCCAGCTAGTCCTTGCTGTGTGACTTGGACAAGTCATTTTTGTTGTCTGTGCTGCAGATTCTCCCCTGCAATACAAAGGAGGTGGTATTGATTTCATAACCGTTTAGTCAAACATGATTCCCTGTAAAACACCTGAAGAGTTTCAGATGTAAATTATAGTTTATTCTGCTTTCATTTTACTGTAAGCTTGTCATTTGGCATTTCAAAAAATTTGTTAGTAAGTAAAACAGAACACAGTATACAGTATTTTAATCAAATTGGCCCAAGTTTTTTTTTTTTTTTTTTTTTTGAATAGTAATGTGTATTCATACATTTGGTCCACAACTCAATCAGTGGGTAAGTGCCCTTCTGACAAGGGTTATATTTTCTTTCCCAGATCTAGTGAATGACTTGGCAGAAGGGGCAGCCATAGCAGAGGTTTCTAGTTGATTGCTCATTTGTCTCCAGCCCCAAGGGTCCAATTAAGCACTTAAATGTGTGCTTGAGGTTGAGGATATTAGTGTTGTTGATTTCTAGGTTTGGCACATGCTTCAGTGCTTGACTGAACTGGGGCCTAGTGGAGGAAGAAACAGCTCTTCTTTCCCACAATATTTTTTAAGTTGCCTGATCTTTAAATCTCTGTTGTTTCCTTCGCAGGGGGAGGAATCGGCCATGATTGGGGTGAGCGGCTACGTGGAATATCTCCGGGAACAGGAAGTTTCGGAGCGTTGGTTCCGGTACAACCCACGGCTCACTTGTATTTACTGCGCCAAATCCTTTAACCAGAAAGGCAGCCTGGACCGGCACATGCGTCTGCACATGGGCATCACACCTTTTGTCTGCCGCATGTGCGGGAAGAAGTACACCCGCAAGGATCAGCTGGAGTATCACATCCGCAAGCACACGGGCAACAAGCCTTTTCATTGCCACGTCTGCGGCAAAAGCTTCCCTTTCCAGGCCATCCTCAACCAGCACTTTCGCAAGAACCACCCTGGCTGTATGCCTCTGGAGGGGCCTCACAGCATTTCCCCTGAGACCACCGTCACGTCTCGGGGGCAGGCGGAGGAAGAATCTCCTCCGCAGGAGGAAGCTATTGCTGTGGGGGAGACGGCACAGGGATCTGTGTCCACTACTGGACCAGATTGAAGTACGGCTTGAGAGTCTGGGGAGGAAGGACCATCTTCCCGTTTTGGCTCTAAAGAGTCAGCACCAACCTGGCAGGCTGGTACTGTAATTAGTGCAATGCCACCACTGGACAGAAAGAAGCTCCCAAGATGTTGCCAAAATAGAAAAATCTTTTCTCTCTCTTTCTCTCTCTCGCACACACACACCCCCGCGCACACACACACACACACACACACACACACACACACACACACACACACACACACACCTAGAGTGTTAAGTGTTTTTCTCCCTTATTCCTCACCCTCTTGGGGAAAAACAAAGCAACTGTGTCAATCAACTTCTGATTCAGGGATCGACAGGATTTTAAATTTTTTTAATATTCGGTAGTGATCCAGGACAAGCAGTCGTTTTTATTTCTTAACAGCATTTTGGCCCAGCAGTGGGGTCCCACTGGTGGCGTTGGCTCTTAGCCAGGCAGATCCAGTGAGTCTCGTGCGCAGGGCTGTCCTCGCCGTATCTGCTGGTCCATCTCGAGGGGAGAGCAGGGGCAAGATGCAGTTGCCTTTCACCTTTTCCCAGGTAGTTGCCACGTTAAAGAAAAACAAAGAGACTGTCCTGGTGGAACCTGCCTTGCCTGAGTGTATTTATCCCTGTTTTGTTTTATTTTTTTTTGGTGTGTCTCTTTTTACATTTTTACTTAAACCGTTATTTTAGGGCTTCTGGCTTGCCCTTTCCAGGCGTGTGGCCTCATGCCCCTTGCTAAAAGCGGGCACGGCTATAAAGCAGTATTCTAGAGGTCAGCAAAATTTGAAGCGCTTAGGCTACTGAAAGTGAAATTTAGCAGCTGTGAGGTTTGCATTAGACTCTAATGTGTTGGGGGAAGGGGTTTTTTTTTGGAAGGGGGAGGGTGTCCTTTGTTGTTGCTGATCTGGATAGTACAGAACATTCTGGCTTCCTGACCGGTGCACTGCCATGCTTCAAACGTTGCCAAGCGTTAGGAGGAGGTTTCTGGACTGGCTGAATTGATGAGTTAGAGGCTGGCTACCAAAGTCGTCCTTCACCCCTGCTCCCCCCTCTACGCGCACTTATCTTTTATAACAGCAATATGGTATACAGAAGTACTATAATCCCAGCGAAGCAATCATGGATGGTTGCTTTTAACCGTGTTTCTACAAACTAGTTTGATAACTTTTTTATCAATGAAATGCAAAAAGAAAAGAAAACCCTACTTTATTTCCTCATAATGTTTCAGGAAACTTAAAGTTAATGGTTCCTAGAGCAATCACAGCTCTTCCCTTGCATGGACTTCAACTTTTATATTCTAAGCTGCTCTGATGTTTAGAGCAAGTTTAGCAAACCCAGAGAGACATGCCTGCATTGTGTATTGTAGGTGTTTGCACGTGCTTACGTGTTTCATAAATGGAAACGCATGGGACAGGTAGATAAGTGCAAATATCTTGACATCTTTTGAAGACGTCTTTTAAAAATATGCAATATTTTAAGAGTTTTCTTTGTTTGTGATGCTGGGTTGTCTGTAACGGAGGGGGGAAATGAACCACAGGTTGTGCAGACTGGAACTGGGAGAGGACGTGTGGTTGAAGGAATGCTCTTGAGGCTGTATAGCGCTTGTAATAAGGAGGGACGAAGTTCGGATCCTTAAGCTGGTGGGAGGAACAATGAGACATTAAAAAAGTACGTTTCATCTTGCTTCGGCAAAGAAAGCTGGGCAAGTGGTTAGAGCGGGGGCTTGGCAGACAGTAGACGTACTAAGTGAAAACGAAGCTTGTCCGGCTGCCCGATTACGGGCACGTGGAAATTCTCCAGGCCTCACTCTTCCCCCACCTGCAAATCGGGAAGAACGACCGTCTGCCTACCCCTTTAGACGGAAGAAGTCAGAGAAGGGTGACGCATTCTTACCTCGCTCCCGTTTTGTGCAAGCGAGGGGTCTCACTGCTCCTCCCACCCCTCGCTGAAGAAGCAGAGACGTGGCTCTAGCGTTGGCTTGTGCGGGGAAGGGAAGGGAGCGGGGGCAACGGGGAGGTGCTCTTACGAGAGGAGCCTTTGCAGGTGCTCCGAGCAGGATACCCGCAAAGTACCGTTTTGTTGACCGTTTCAAACGGGAAAACTGATATTTCACCTTCATTTTCCTTCTGTCCCTCTCTCCTCTCCTGTCAAGCGCGTCACCACGCAGTGAATGATATTGTGAGCAGCCACCCGAGGGACCAGCTACGTTCAGTTTCCTCTCGAAGGTCAAACAGAATTGTACTGAAACTGTAAAGTTGCCAGAGAGCAGTCGCGGAAGATGAGAGAGGAGAGGGTGGCTAAGGTAGGTTTCATTGCAATCGAGGTGTGGGGAGCAATGGAGGTATGCAGAGTATGCTGCTTTAGTCATAGCTTTTGAAGTTACCAAAAATCAAAACGAAAAAAGTTAAAACCTTTGAAATCCTATCCTGTTCACACTAGAGAGCATCAAGTTACTTTAGTTACTTAAAAGATTTTTAAGTGTTTTAAAATAGAACTTTTAAAAGAATACTACCAAACTATAAAAACATAAAATTATTTATATACATATATTATATATAAATATAGTGGGAAAGTTTCCCTGTTAAGCTTGCTGTGAAGAGAAGGGTGAAGGTGCAGTAACTGCTATACAAGCAAAATATTTCTGAAACAGATGGCAACCGATCCATCAAGGCTTAGCGATGAAGGGCTGACATAAAATGGTGAATGCCTTATTTGTATGGCATAGCTGTGAGTTTTCTTGAACAGGTTTTTGTTTTTGTTTTACTGTATTGATACTGTGAACGGAGGAGCATCCTAACAGTGCAGGGTGAGATCAGCACATCCTTCCTTGCTGATTCGCTACTTCTAATTGGCCTGGTGAAAGCCGTGAAATTGTTCCTTCATATTGTTCTAGGCTAGTCTGAAAACAAAAAAGCTTGTGAAAGGTTTTTATTTTTTCTCTCTCTTTTTTTTTTTTGTCTGGTGCAGAGGTTGCCACTGTATAAATGATCGTTTCTGATTGCATGCAAAAGAGCCAATATTCTTGCCCAGGCCTCACTGAGGCGAAGTTTATAGCTTGTAGCTAGAGTCAGTATAAGGTATGGTAGTGGGAATCATTTTAATATTATTTCTGTACATTTAATGGATGTATGTGTATGTATGTGTGGAATTCATGGTGTCTCTAACATTTTCTTGAGCAGCGCTGAAAACAGTTCAGGCTCATCTCCACTAGAAGGTGGAACCAGTTCAGAAGGAATCGTTTATTAAACTTTTCTTTCAGTGATGGACTTTCTTAGTGCAGATAGGCCGAGAGGGGAGAACGGGGGGTTGGAGGTCGTCTGCAGTACGGAAAAAAAATCGTGCTGACTTTCCAGCAGTGGCGTAGCTGCTTGGAGCTGCTTTTCGTAACAGAACGATAACATCTTTAGTTGCGCCTACGTTGGCAGACCGTCTAGTTCTTTGCAGTTGCACCGAAGCTGTGGAGAAACAGATGCCAACTTTCCGAGTAGGAATGCTTCTGGGATGGGTTGAGGCATGGCTTTGCGTTTCCACAGCTAACTGCAGCTTTTTCCCCTTTGCCAAAACTGTGATTTCAACTGTGATTAACGGAGGATGTGAAGAGAACGCTGTCATATCTTAATACCTCTCTACTTACCGTTTCTGTCAGCTTCAGAGTTAGGGCTTACTAACCAATTTGTTTGCCTCAGGCAAGAGGGGAAACGGAGTCTATTTCTGCAGTTTCCTTTAGCGGAGGGGGAACACATTTCTTCGTTCTTTGCTGTCGCAAAGAAACCTTCCAAATGTGAAGTGCTGCGGTTATCTCCTTGAGCCTGCAGAAAGCCCCGGTGCCAGGTCACAGCAGAGGGAAGGGAACGTCGCTGCGGACGATTTCCCTGCTGCTGCCCGGTTCCCTGTGAATAGCTGTGAAAATAACAAGAATCATGTTAATACTGTGCTGCTGCTTCGGGGAAAAGCTAGCTCTCTTCCTCGCGGGAGGATGACTGGTGTAAAGCTGGGAGAGGAAAAAAGCAGAAAGTCTTTCTGCTCTCTTGCACTGGGAGAGTGGGAAAGCAAAAAGTGCTGCTTCTTCCCAGCAGCTAGATAGAAAAGGATGAATGAGGAGGGTTTGTGAAATGGGCACCTATAACAGGAGGCTGAGACCACACTTAGAGCCTCCTAGTAAGACCCAGGGTTATCAGCCTGGTAAGAAGCAGAGCAGCCAGCGCAGGTGAGCAATCCTGTCTCACGTTTGTACTACCACGCTCTTGCCACTTAGCATGGCTGAATTCCCTCGTGGAGCTTCTTAGCAGGTCGCTGCCCTGAAAGTTGGTTGCTGAGCACCCCTTGCTTGTCCCTCCTAGCATCAGATCCAGTCGTTTGATTTAACCCAGATCTTTGCTAACGTATTTTCAAGCTGTGGTCTGTATAATTTAACTTTCAGAAGTTTGGGTGGCTGAACGGCAGGAAAAATAAAAAGCGTTTTGTGTTTCTGCTGCTGTTTTAAATCTCACCGAGGTTGGTAGTGACTGACTCTGTTGCCAGCTGACAGCTATTCAGAGCTGGAATTACATTTGGAACAAGCCGCAGTCTTGTTGAAAAGCGTAGCAGAGACAGGCATGACTGGGAAGGCACAAAGCCAGGATTTCCGCCCCCTTCAAGATCAAGGGAGAAATAAATGACAAGATGGAGCTCCCTGCTTGTCCTGCTCTTATTTTGTGACAACTAGGTGACTTTATTTTCCAGGGCAGTCAGTCCCACGCCTCTACACAGTAATAATTTCACTAAAAAAAATTGATGCCCGGTTCCATAAGGAATTTTAAGCAGTTCTGATCCTCGAGCAGAGTTCTTCTGCCTTCTTTGGGTGATTCAACCCTAACCATCCTCTTGGAAGAGCAGAGTTGTAGCTTTTATTTGCTGTTGACTTCCTCTTTCCTGCAGAAGTTAATGTATTTAAAAAAAAAAAAAAGACAACTGAAAAGATGCAGAATATTTGAGTGGAATGTAGCTTGCAAAATAGACTGAGTCATGCATTGAACACCGACAAAAGTTAGTACCCCTTAAACCTATTATTTACACTTTAAAAAAATCTGCTGTGTGATGCATGACACGCGTGCCAATTTAACTGTACAGTTTAAGCATCCAAGTGATTCTTCAGGTTAGTGACACCAGATGCTTTTCCTGCTCTGCCAGAAATATTTTGAGGGTAGGAGAAGTCAAGGAGCTGTGATTCATGGCACTTCTGATTCTGTCAAGGTTTGGGCTCCGAGTTTCCTGTGGATGGGTGACCTAGGAGCCCAGAACTAGGATTTGAAGTCAGAAGACCTAAATTCTTTCAGTGGAGCTGCCACTGATTGCCACTGAGCTGGTCTGCAGTTCTGTAAATTGGTGATAACCGTACTCTTAAGATGTGTATTCCTCGTAGCATGAGATTGGATCCATGCACGGGGATTTGACATCTTCAGGGGAAGGTCCTAGAGATGAGCCAAGAATCTTTATTTTAATCATTGGTGTTCAAAAGATATTTTAATATACAAAACATACATATATGTATATATGTATGTACACTGAGAGAGAAAAAGTATATATATACATATATATATATATTTGTAACCAAATAAAAGCTAGAACTATGCAAACGCTACTGGCTGCTCTTTGAAAGTAAAGCCTACGAGAGCATTTTGGAATACTTTGGAGTAGATTTGCAGCTTTTCAGGAAGAAAAAAGTGCAGCAGGCCAGAGTTTTACTGCAGTTAGTCTAACTAGAAACTCAGATTATTCCTAATCTGGAACTCACTCATAGTACGTGAGTTATAAAATTATCTGAAGAGTCCTACCGTCTCTAAAGTATTTCCAGCTGCCTTGGTGTTAATGCTGAAAAGTTTTCTTTTGAGAAACGTAGGAGAATACAGAGGCTGGGACTAGGAGAGATTGGACTGTGAGGTTTGGGGTGCTAGTTAAGAGAAGTAGAATCAATAATTTAGGTGTTTGAAGAGGAAGCTGGCTGGGAGCACGGTCTTTTTGGGCCCAGGATTGAGTTGGCTTCAAGGAATCTTCCTGCTTGTGAAAGTCCCTGTCACTGAGACAGAGGCTGAGAAGGAGGCGTCACTGGGCTGAGTACTGATCCCAGTGGAGTTACTGGGAATCCTCCTGCTGAGCCTGATGGTACTAGAGCTTAGCGTGCTGGGAGAAGTTTGGTGTGGTTTCTACCATTTCTTTGTGTCAGAGCTGATCTTTTCTCTTAGGTTTGACTAAAATATGTCCCACTGTAACCTTCAGTTACCTGTTTGACTTTTTATTCCTGGGGACTGTAGAAAATTCAGGTTTCCTATAACGTTATCCTCATCCCAACTGTGAACAAGTTACTACTGCTTCTTATAATTTATTGTCTTTCTGTTCCTAAAAGTCTGTGCGATCCAGCTGTTTACCAGTGCCACCTTCCAGTGCTTCATTAGCTTTTATGCACAGGGAATTGTTGCAATGGATATGTTTAACGTGCTAGTTGGAAGAGTAGCAGCCTTTGGGGAATGACTTTTGCTTCCTCTAGCTGTCATTAGGGAGTGCACACACACATACTTGTATATACATATATATGTATACATATATAAAGTTTTTCAATATAAACTCATTTAGCATTATTCTTATTTAATTTATATTTTAATCCAGTTGTAAACCAAAGTATTGCAGCTTGTGAAATGGTGCGTTTTGGAAACAGGAGGAACCTTTTTAGATGGGAGTTCTGAAAGATCTCTGTTGACAAAAATATAGATACAAATGAGACCTAAGCACTCGTGCTGGGGAATCTTAGAGATTTGCAACCTTGGAAGGATTTAAGACTTGGCGGGTAAAGTTTGATTGTGGGGGAACAGTGTGGGTTACTATTTTAAAACACTATTTTAAATTTTCCTCATCCAATATAACTCGGTATTGCAGAAATTGCGGCAAAGAGCAGTACAGCCAGGCATCTGATAGAGATGCGGTGCCTCACCTGGGATTGCTTGAAGTGGTTAAAGCTAACAGGGTGATGTTAGGTAGCGCTGTTTGCTTCTGTTGTCATCTTTACTACCTTTATTCACAGATGTTTCTGGTGCAGCGTTGCTGTATGCTCAGTTCAGCTCTGAGCATATCAATAGTGGCTTGCTGAGTGACTTTGCAGGGACCTGGTTGGCTGATGGTTTGAATAAGTACTTTAAAAGTGCGTCTTGGCAGTGTCTGTGCTGCTTGACTTTTCCCAGAGAGTTGTGCTTTGGATTCTCTGCCACCCCGCTGTGCCTGCCCGGTCACAAAACCTAGGGCTTCCGCCTTTCCTCTTGAATTTGGGTACTTTAAATAAACATGAAGACTTGTCTACTGGAATGGCTTGAGGAAATCCCCTGCGAGGGAAAACGAGGCCGGAAGTTAGGCGTGGGTTTGCTTTGTTCTTTAACGTTGATCTGGAGCGATTCCGTATGGTCTTCTGCCTGACCCCTTTCTTTTGAGTGCCGGGTTATGATGAATTTATGTTAACGTGCATGTAAAAGATGGGATGGAC